CTAGATTAATAAAGTAGCTTAGCTTCTAAAAAAGGTTAACACAAACAATTTAAAAATGAGGAATCTAGCTAGAAAGAGGAATCTTTGCTAATAAGATCTTGCGATCCGCAACAAAACTGAGACATTTTCATTTTATATGTGTATACTCTAAAGAGGACATAACAAAATCAAGATTGAAGAACTAAATAGATGGCGATTGATCCCTCTTTTTGAAAAATATAAATTCATTTTTATTTTCATTAGTTTCTTAGTGTTTATTTAAATCTTAATACTTTAAAAACTAAATCCTAAAAATTTAAATTATCCTAACACTATAAACATCGAATAAAAATAATTAATCTTATTATTTTATTTTTTAGTATATAAGAAGTTAAAGAAACAAGCTAAGTTATAAGGAACAAAGTGCCTGTAACATCACCACGAAGAATGCTTCTTATGCCTGTCGGTAGCACCTCAAAAAAGGTAATGCTGTGAGGAAGATGTTGGCCAACAGAAATCATATGATCCGCTGCAGAATTTGTCAATCTTATAACTTCTTATGTATGCATTTTGTTATCGAAACAGTACATGTCGATACTGAAAATTTGTTTTTATTATTTTAATGTAGGACAGTGATTGGTATACACTTTAATTCAACACACTATATGATACTCATTAATAATCTGAAATTAAAGATAAACAAGTTAATGATACAATCATACACATAAGATACAGGAATTGGTTGAATTGATTATATTTATATTATATTTTTAATGACTAAACCGAAAGTGTATAAAAAAATGTATTGAACCGAGAATGTACTAATTATTTTTCTTTAATTTATTATCATTTTTATTATAAAACTAAATATGTATATTTATTGCTTTTTTTATTATAAAACTAAATATGCATATACCAAAAAAAACTAAATATGCAATTTTGCCATGATATCTAATAAGTGTAAAAATAATTAATGCATAAAAAATTAAATTATATTTGATAAAACTAAATTCGAATTTTATCCATGGAATATTTATATGAACTAAAATATGAGTTAACATCAATGTTAAAGCCATTAACAAATACGTGTTGTATTATAGAGTAGATCTAAATTTAAATCTTAGGATTAGTTCTTACAATATGTATGGATAAAAATCAATCAAAAATAGAGAAGAAAAGGGAGGAAAAAAAAAAAAGAGAACTTAAACTTAGTTTTAAATAAATAAAATTTTTAAATATATTATATTAATATAAAAAAATATTTTTAAAGTTATTAAAAAATAAGATTAAAAATTAATACAGTAACAACATAACAGAAAACTAAAAAAAATTAAAAAATGAAGGAGGATACTTTTAACTTATATCTTTACTTTTTAATTTAAATGTACACTGAATTTTCACTTTTATTTGGACTTTCATGCAGTCCCCACACTAAACTTTTTTTGGAAAATAATATAAGAATAATTTCTTTTATTATTTCTACATAAATTTTAAAGTCATTAAATAAGTAAATATATTTAATATCATGAATTTTAAATAAATAAATAAAATTAATTATTTAAATAATACATAAAAGTATATTAAAAAATATTAAAAAAATTATTCCTAAATTATTTTTTCTTATTTCTTTTGCATTTTTGACACTTTTGCTTGTGGTTGGCCCCTCTTGTTTTTACCTTTGATTGGATATTTGACAGATATCCGCGCCTTTCATTCAGACTATTGCTCTTCATTGTAATTGTGGCAACTGACGTGGAGATAATTCTTTAGAATTTGTTTTATATAGGAAAAAAATTATTTAGACATAATTTTTTTTTTTTTTTTTTTAAAAGCAATTAGGGGTAAGGGGAAGGGGAAATAGGGACAAAACCTCACTGCCGTGGGTGAAAAGTTAACACATTAACCACGTAAGTCACACACTAAAAGGCTACATATATATATATGATATTAATAAATTTTATTTATATAAAATTTTAATTATTTATTTTTTTTAATATTAATAATTGAAATATATCATCAATTTTAAATAAAAAATATAATTATTTTTAAAAATATAAGTAAATTTTAATTATAAAAAATAAAAATAAATAATTAAAATTTTATAAATATAACATGTAAAATTTAATATATAAATAACTTTTACTCATTTAATTTACATAATTTTTTGTGTCATTAACTATAAATTGAAAGACAACTTTTCCTCTCAGTGGCGGGACTGATCAATGAAAAAGTTTCTATCTCCCTCGGGGAAAAAGTCATGTGATAGATTTCCTTCCGTTAGGGCTTTCGAAATTGTCAAAAGTTTCATCCACCCGCTTTGAAGCAAAAAGTCTCAGTCTTAGACCTGCCAACCTTTACAAGGTGGGAGTGCTTGAACTCAGTAAGTACAAGATGATTACGATAGAAAGGATGCTTAAAGCCAATCTTAGGCAGACTAAGACACTGTTTTATGGATTTAATTTTTTGTTTGTTATCAAGATTTAATTGTTTGTAAGGTTGTCAATGTTCGGTTGTTTCATTCCTTAATTTTTTTTTTTTTTTTAAGGAACACTTGATCCTAACCCCTAAGTTTTGATGAAATGAAAGTTGTGAATTTTTTATAAAAAAATTGAACAAACATGAATCTTCAGATTGAGTTATGCACATAATAAGAATGAATTAACTGAAGCTCGTTCTATTTTTTGAGTTCCTGACTTCCTGCTATAACATTTGAAATATTTAGGCTGTTGACTTCTCTTTGCATATTCCAGGTGTATCCCTTTCTAGTGAGGATGCACTTATTTTACTTGTATGCTAGGATGAAAGAGTTAACTATAACTTACTGCATCAGTTTGTTGTAGCTAATTTTTGTCGAAACAATTATGCTTTACTGCACAAACTGAAATTTCTTCTAAGTTGCCTTACAACTCACCTTTGCAGGTGCAAAATACCAACTACTAAATTATGTTTTGAGTAAGCCAACCAACATGATAAGAGATGGTTGAAGATCATGTATCTGAGATTGAACATATATTATTACTCCCTTTTTGTCTCTGAAATCTGTTGTATATTCCTAAAGGAGGTTATTTACAAAAGCTGTTTCAAACTGCATCCTAGCTAACAAACAAAGGTGGAAATCCGGGGCAAATAGCCTACTTTGGGTTTGGATTTCCCATTAAAAAATGTAGATGAGAGGTATTGTCCAACCAAAAGAAAGAATGTAATCTAGTGAAGAATGACAGCTAGGAAGAAGCAGAATCGTTCGCCCAAGTCAACTCTTTCTAAGAATGATAAGATATTGCCTTGCTTTCCCAGATTGTCTTTTTGAGTGTTCAGTGTTCAAAGGTGCTATGAGTTTGATGTTGCTCCATGAAAGGGTTCCCTGGTTCTGCTACTTGCAGAGTGCTGGCGACCCAAATAAAGATTCTTCTATATCTTCTCTGAGGGCACTTTCCCCTGCTTGTCTTGTTTCTTGCTTTGCTTCCGAGATTAGTCGGAGCAGTGAGACTTCTTAGCTCCACAGGAGGCCTGCATTGAAAGACCAAACAATTAAAGAGTGCGATTGTTACAACCTAGCTTATTTACAATCTAAAACAGGCAAAATGAAATCAATTCAGATAGCAGGGCCATGTGTACTAGTCTCCAATTGCTTGAATTAATCAGGAAAAAAATGCAAAAAAGATAGCTAGAAGCACTCCATAATTAGTAAAGCCAGAAGGAAAGCAGGTCATTCAATAATGACCAAGTCTTTTGCAGAGTCCTCTTTATTGCTCTGGTGACCATGATATCTTTTCCTAAGACCTTATAGTATTGTAATATTAAGTATGCTTCAGTTTCTTGATTAAAATTTGGGCAGCAAACAAGAGGAAGAAATGGAGAAACCAAAATCATTTATCCAAACAAAACTTTGGTTATTGAAGTAGTTCAGAACGGTCTCATCCGCCATCAAGTGCAGAATTAAAATCAATGTTTAATAACTAAATAACTATCAGCAGGATTAAAATCAATGATAAGCTGAATTAGATGGTAAAATGATTAAAATTTGAAAAATCTATGCACCTGGAAGACCAGTTATAGAATGCAAAGCAATACTCTTAAAGGTACAAATCATAAATATTGGTACCTTCTCTCCCACGCTCCTTTTCCTGTTGCCTTTCACCATTAGAAGCAATCTTAAAATCAACATTAGCATCATCATCAGTGTCCCCTTCTTCAGTTCCTGCACTATCATATCAGCACAAGCAGGAGCATCTGCAATAAGTAAAGAAACAAAGGAAAGAAAAAATCAGCTAAGAGTCCATAGAAAGAAGAGATTAAGTATCAGAATCACTCCAGTAATATGAATTCCAGATTGTAATGTTTAAAGTTTGGTTTATAATTTATTAAATGTACAAAAGAATCAATTTAGACAATGATGCTACCACTACTGCTTACAGATAAGGAAATGAATTATTAGAATTCAGAATTGAATTATTACATCTTTTAACGGGAAACTGGATTTTAATGTTGCAGAATCACAAACCCATATATTTGCTAATGAACCTACACCTCCCAAGGGAATATGCAATAAAAGATAAAAGTAAAAGCTGAACTTAGAAAATTCCTCAGAATGAGACCATATGCCGTTTTTATAGAAAATCTGACCTTTGAATTTGCATCCAGTAACAAGCTTTATATGGACTTGGAGGACTACTCTTCAACCTAAACAGAAATTATAAGAAACCTGAAAATGATCCTAACTTTTATTAGAAACCTTCACTTGCATAGAACTTTAAGAAACTAAAAAGCATGTTATATTATCATTATTGCAGGTGAATAACAATATTAATTTTGAAGGGTAATTTAGGATCAAAACACAGATAAAGATAGAAAATGAACACAGAAAAATCAATACTCACTTCCAACTCAGACAAAAAAACATAATTTAAATATTCTAATTACTGATTATAAAAAATTAAACAACTCACTAAATTTATTAGAACCAACTACTGAATTCTCAAAAATCTGAACAAAAATAACCATATCCAAAAGGAACGCATTTAAGAAAATAAGAAATCTCCTCTAAACAAACAAAGAACAGCCACCAAAAAAGCCAACAGAAACAAGTCATTTCAGAACATCTGCAGTAGATTTTGGAATTACCAAAATGGAACAAGAAATATAATAACAAAACATGCACCTCTACAAGACTTGCATCTTCCTCTTCCCCATTCGTCACACCTACATCATAAATCCCCAGTCAAATGAAACAACTAGGACAATGATACTAATAAAATCAAAACAAAAATCACTGAAAAGTTTACAAACCATCATCGGTTGTTCATTTTCAGAATCACTGCCAGCATCATTACATCTTTGCTCATTTTAAACACTTTGAAGGTAACCTCATTTCAAAACCCTGAATTTCTAACAAAAAGCAACAAAATAACTTTAGTTGGGCTTCTAAGAAAATTCACAACAGTACATGAAAATTGTGAAGGGTAACAAAATCAAATCTATGCTTCACCTGGAAACCAAATCAATTGAAACTTCCCAGTCCTTCCTCCCAGTTTTTACGTAATAATGCTTCCAATCAGAATCAACCCTACTTGTAATAATTCAATCAAGTGTTAGAGACTGAACACTTAAGCCATCTAATGTTTACATTATCTCAGTTAGGCTACCTTATTTGAGTCATCCAATTCTTACCTCAATCACCATCACATACACTAAAGAAGAAAGTAGTTGCACCCAGATTAGGATATGAAGCATGCTACGACAGCAAATGATACTACTCAATAAAACATATCTCTAATAGAGAAAATTAAAGATGAAAATATTTTTGAAAACAAAAGCATCCAGATACTTAAGCTCTTTGAGGGCACAAAAGATTTAATTCTTTACTCACAGCATCCTCCATGGCTGTGTGCCATCCTTGAATGGATGATGGCTTTGAGCTTGATTTAGCCAACTCTATTTTGTTGAGTGGTGAAACCACATTGCCTTGAGCGTAATTATTCTTGGAAGGTCCTGAGATTCCTATAGCTTTTGGTTGAGCAGCTGTAATGTTTACAGGAGTTCCACCATCATAACTGCAGAAATTGGGGATGAAGGTGGGAAGCTCCAATACAAAACCTCTAGCAAGGATTTTGCTAATCTAGGATAGAGGTAGAACCGAGTATCAAATTCTCAAAAATCTGAACAAAAATATGATATTATTACTCTTTTTGTCTCTGAAATCTCTTGTATATTCATAAGGGAGGTTATTTAGAACACTGTTTCAAACTGCATCCTAGAAAAGGAAGGTGGAAATCTAGAAGCAAATAGCCTACTTTGGAGTTTGGACTTTGGATTTCTCATTAAAACACAGAAATTGTATGGCACACCTCCACCATCCAGTGCACAATAGAAGGTAGTAAATGACCAGAAATCAATGATAATAACATATTGAATCAATGATAAGAAGAATTAGATGGTGAAATGATTAAATTAGAAAGATCTATGCACCTGGAAGACCAGTTATATAATGCAAAGTGGTACTCTCTAAAAGGTATGAAGCATGGATATTGGTTTAACTTCTCTCCCACACTCCTTTTCTTGTTGCCCTTCACCATTGGAAGCTATCTTAAAATTAACACCATGAGCATCATCATTAATGCCCCCCTTCTTCAACTACTTCACCATCATCAGCAAAAATTGGAGCATCTGGAAGAAGTAATTAAACAAAAGCAAGAAAGGATAAAATCAGCTAACATTCCTTAGAAAGAAGGAATTAAGTATCAGAATCACTCCAGTAATGTGAATTCCAAATTTTAATGTATTAAGTTTGTTTTATAATAATATATTAAATGCATCTAAGAATTAATCAATTAAGGCAATGACGCTCTACTTGTACTACTTATGGCTAAGGAAATGAATTATTGGAACTCAAAATTGAATTATTACATCTTCTGGTGCACAACTGGATTTCGACTTTGCGGAATCACAAACCCATATATTTGGTAATGAACCTGCACCTCCCATGTGAAAATATCAGATAAAGGTAAAAATTGAACTTAGAAAAATTGTTCAGAATGAGACTATATGCAATACAAGATAAAAGAAACTACAAAGCATGATATATTATTATGGTTGCAGGTGAATCATAATGTTAATTTTGAAGGGTAAATTAGGATCAAAATACAGATACAGATATAGCAAAATCAATACTCACTACTTGGTAGTTTATGACATCAAAATCCGCGCCAAAATCAGAAATGATATTACTTAGGAGTACTTTGAGTTCATTGGAGACCAAAGCTTGGGGCTTTTCCTACCAATTGCCGATCGATTTTGCCAAAATTGGCACCTGCAATACCGAAATTGAAATCTTACATGTTTTTCGTTTCAATGATTTCACTCCCAACTCAGACAAAAAAAAAAGTTAACTAGAATATTCTAATTGCTGATTATCACCAATTAAAGAACTCAATAAATTTATTAGAACCAATTACGAATTCTCTAAAAAAAGATAACCATACCCAGAAGGAACCCATTTAAGAAAATAAGAAATCCATAAATAAACAAAGACCAGCAAAATCGAAAAGAAATATAAAAAAGGAGTTAGAGAGTTAAAATCATAATAATGCATACATAGATTGTAATATCCCAAATTTTCTGAAATTTTAGCATTTAAGTTGAGGACCTTTGTGTGAGAAAATATTATTTTGGAACCTATTAACTAAAATATCTAAATTTGAGGAACCTAAAAGAGAAAAACATTAGGATAAGGATCAAGCTGATTTTTTTTCCTTCTTTCTTCCTCAGCCAGCGGGTTTCTTCTTCTTCCTCACCCCTGCAGCTCCCGAAAAAGAAGCCCAAGCACCGACTTCCATTTCTTGAAAAAATCAGCAAAAGCTTCAATTTTTCCCTTCTTTTCTCGTTAAAGAGCAAAATTAGGACTTAGAAATCTTTCCCCGCTGCAGAAAAATTTCAGATCTGCTCTGTTTCTCCCCCTTTATTTGTCCGCCGTTCTGCTGGGTGTGAATCCTTCGGGATTTTCGGTAAGAACCAGCTTCAAGTTCATCTCTTTAGCTTTAATTTGGCTTGGGTCACTCTAATCCCTTTTGTTTCTTGCAATTTTGTGGTAGTTTTCATGATTTCTTCTCCAATCTCCGTCGGCCTCCATACAATTAGTTGCTGCCCTGTTGTCCGAAAATTTTCTGTTGTATAGGGGATGATTTCCGACAGCTTTTGAAACATGTTTTGAGTTTAATTCATGTAGAATTTTCTGTGATTGGACTACTGTGATGTTCTGTATGCATAGCCGGGTCTTAGTGCTGTTTTGCCAAGCTCGGTTCCTCCATTTTGTCCGTTGGAAATTTTCTGTTGAAATGGAGGAGTTTCGGCAGCCTTAAAACTTGGGTTTTAAAGCTTGCTTAATGTAGAAAATGTTCTTGATTGGCTGTTGTAGTATTTTATATGAAAATCTCGTGATTAGCTACTGTTTTGCCAAAAAGGATTAATTTAATAAAGGCCCGGCTTCTCCATTTTTGTGTCTGTGGGATTGGGAAACCATTTATATATGTATTTGTGTATATATACACAATCTGGTCAATGAAAATAAATAAATAAATGAAATTGCTTATAGAATTAATTCTTGGATATTTTGGTTAGGCTCTTGATCCTTGGGCACTTTAGTACGTGGATTGAGTCTTCGGTTTTATGCAAGTGAGGTAAGTAAATTATAGTAACGCCCTTCGATTTTAAAGCACATTTGAGCTTATTTTTGAAGTGGTGGCGGCACTAAACTCGTTTTACACAAGTACGATCGGTTTGAAATGGAATTATTATCATTTTCATTGAATTGAGCATGTTTACTTGGAATTTACTTAACTGCCCTGATGAACTGAGAATTTTGTAAATTCTTATTTTTCTGTTAAATCCATGCCTACATGAAAATTTTTCGGTTTATTCTTGAAATTGAGAGTGATCGTGAATCATGGATTTTTCTGTAAATCTTGCCTGGTTTTGTCTCCGATATGGTCATATTATTCGTGTGCCCGCTAGTGGGAGGTTTATAAATGCTAGCACATGTCGACATGTTACTGATAGAATCGGTTCGTTTATGTTACTGTTATCCTGCTAGTGGGATTATACACTAGTAAATCGTGTGCTTGCTAGTGGGAGGTTTATAACACTGGCCATGACTTATAGAGGAGACGTCTATTTCATTTCTGTACTCGTACCTGTTTTTTGTGATTATACTTGTTGGCATGCTATAAGTTTAATTAAGGGTTATCCATATTTACTTATTGAGTTATCTTATAGTTTTTCCTTGTCTACCATTTCAGGAAGCGAAGTCAAGGACGGGGAAAAACGAGGGGAGTGACGAGTTAGAAAGCTAGTCATCTTGTAAATTAAACATAGATTTTAGATATAAATCATGATATTGTAAGCTAAATTTTATTTGGAGATTTTATGATATTAGAGCAAAATTTTAAAATTTTATCTTCAGATTGAGTAGTATCAGATTGTGGTATGATAAGGTTTCGAGCGTTGTGCATTTGTGGGACCCTCTCACAAGTATACGGTGTCTGTCACGTTCCCGGATTTGGGTTTTGGGGCGTGACATAGATAAAAGAGATTTGATTCCATATATAGTACCCAGTTTGGCGAGAATCTCATATAAAATTGGAGAAGCAGAGAATTAGATCTCTTTCATCCAGTTTCACAATCAAAATAACAAGACTGGAATGGAGGAGAAAAGGAGAAATGAAGGGTTTTACTGGCACGAGCTATTGGAGTCACATGTGACTTACTTGAACATATCACAAACACACAAACGGAATGTTGCCGCTCATCCTGGCCGTTCTAGTGCTGCTACCATGAACTGGAAAGAATGTTGAATAAACCTAGAAATTTAACTTGACAATTCCGTACTCTAGATCATGATCGTTTATTCACTCAATTCATCAAAATTTGTTTCCGTACTCTGGATTGCAAATGATAGAAGAGGAATTGGAAAATAAATAAAATAAATAAATAAAATCAACATTCTTAAAATTAGAAATTGAATACTTAATCAATCAACACCTTACCCCTCAAACCGACCAATATTTCAAGAAAGGTTGAAGTAGGTTCTTATGATCCCACTCCACTGATTCCCACCATTCTTTATCTATCTCGATTTCTCTGAGACGAGGAGGAGGAGATGGTTGGCCATTATCAAGCAGGGGAAGCTGCACTGGGATCCTGTTTACCTCCCGACATTTCCATATTTTAATTTCTTCAATTGAATCACAAACCATAACTCCTTTGGCACTACAGATGCTCTTCAATTGGGGTAAATTAGCCAACCACAATGTCCTTAACCTGGGAAAAGTGAATTTATCCGATGATGCATCTGAATCTAATGATGCTATTATCTCCTCCATTTGTTCGCACCTATAAACATCAATCTCCTCTAAGTTTTGGAAGGCCTGTAGCAGCTCAAGTGGAAGCAACTTCCTCATTCCTGAACAATTCCAAATATGAAGCTTTTTAAGATTGGAAAAGACGTGCGGTGGTGTTGCTACTCCTTCCACTCTCACAAGAACACTCAATTTAGGCAATTTCTGAAGATGCAGCTCTTCAAGCTTATCTAGTACTGGACAGGAGGATGAGTCCAAGTCAATGACGCACTCCATATCTTCACAAGACTGAAAATTACAAATACTCAACTCGGTTGCCTTTTCTAACAAAGCTGCTTTATTGAAGCCACTCCGCATGTTTCTACACTGCACTATCTTCAGCCTCTGAAGGTTATCTAGAAGCACCATACATTCTTCTCCTAAGTCACAATAATTAATACTAACCGTAGATTCCCTTCGAGTAGCCGACAATGCTGTGAATCTTTTTACTACTTCAATATGGTAATCAGTAAGAATTTGGAAATCTTGAGACTTGACAAAATAATTGTAGTCTTGTATGTCATGGAATATACCTTCAAAGGTCTCCAACTTGCTTAATCTCGCAACCTTTTCTACTTTTATCTTCCATTCTCTATCAAGTAACAAGTATTGGAGATTGGAAAGGTTTGATAACATTCCGATTGGAATCTCTTTTAGATAGTAACAATTCCTTAAATCAAGATATTCCAGACTAATCAATTTCTCCAAGCCTTGAGGGACCACCTCAATCTCGGAATTATTTAGATCTAATTTCTTTAATGCTATAAGCTTTGCTAAAGAAGGTATATATCTTAACCTCAAACACCACCTTAACCTCATGGAAGAGAGCTTCTCCAAGTTTGAGATGGAATTAGGTAAAGCTTCAATGCCAGTTTCAGAAAGATCAAGAACCTTCAGTTCAGGCATACCTTCAAAGAAGGATTTTGGGATCTCGGACAAATTAGGATTATTTGACAATATCAAAGTTGAAAGAGTTGGACACTTTGGGCACAACCCAAGGGGAATTTTTGATATGTTATTCTTCATTAGAGACACCTTCTTAAGATCATTTCCCCACCCATGCTCATCTGGTACCTCTGTTAGTTTCATACCAGCTTTTACCATATATCCAAATTCAAGACCAATGCTTTTGATAGCCATGTCTCTCAGTACATCATGCATCTTAAAATCATTAATACCACCCCAATCAACAGTTTTCTCTAACAAACAATTCTTCACTAGCCTATTTAAATAAGCATGACCCCTCTCATAAGTTGTTTTTCTTCTAGCCAACCCATCAATTAGTCCTTCATCAATCCACCCTTCTATCAACCCTTCTCTCTCAAATGAATAATCTTCAGGAAACAAGGAGCAATAAAGAAAACAATTTTGGATCTCAGAATTATTCAAACGATCATAACTGAACCTTAACCTCTCAAACATCTTTTGATCTAAACCAGTCACACTCTTTACCCGTTCTTGTAATTCATTTAAGGCATTCTTCCACACTTCAACATCATCTTCTCCCCTCATACTCTCTGCAATCACAACAATGGCTAATGGTAAGCCACCACACTCCTCCACAATGAGCTTCAAGATTCCTTCTAAATTTGGTACTTGCAGAACATGATGCCCAACTTTATCTAAGAATAAGTTGAGAGACTCTTGAAATAAAAGAGGTTCCACTTTGACTATCTCACAGAGCATTTTTTGGCACACATCAATGGATCTACTAGTGATGACTATTTTGCTTCCATTCTGAATTGTTGGTTCTGGAATTCCCACGTCAATCAAAGAAAACACTTCCCAGACATCATCTAGGATAAGCACATGCCTTACTCTTCCCATAACCCTCTTTAATTCAGCTGCTCGTCTCCCTTTATCCTCACCTCCAAGGAGTCTCTGTCTATCATCCCCAGCAATAGCATGAGCAATATTATCTTGTAATTTAATTACATCGAGTGGGTAAGATATAGTGACCCAAATCACTTTATCAAACTTAGCCTCCCTCACCAGTTCATCATTAATATGCTTCATAATAGTAGTCTTTCCAACCCCACCAATCCCACAAACTCCAATCTTTCTAACTTCATTGCCCACCAAGTATCCCCAAATTTTTTCTTCTACAGAATCTTCACCCACTAGATTATCATTTGACATGATGATTCCATGGGTCGGAGGTCTATCACCCATGAGACCATCAGGAAAACAACCTTGTTCATGGATTTTTTTCACCACCTCAATTTTCTTGCAAACAAGTTTTCCAAGACAATCCCGTGAGTACCACTTTACTCTCCGAATCTTATCTTGAATGGCTTGCACTTCATTATTGATTTCTTCTACACGTTCAAGCCAACCTTGCACTTCATGTTTTACTTCTTTCCCCCAAAGAACCTCATTCCTTACTATTGAATATATAGCCTCTTTTCGACGGTTTAGAACTCTCCATTCTTTTCCCAGATCACTCATAGCTTCATCAAAATTTAAGTGATAATCTAGACAGGTGCAAGTTGACCTGCCCAAACACTTTACCAGCTCCATGATAGGCTCTACCAGAAGCTCCATTGAAGAAGACCCTATAAAATGAAACATCATGTGTATTAGAATGAATACAACAACTTCAAAAACCATGCAAGACATAGTAATAACTAATGGTTAATAGGATGCAAAATTGTCACTAGCTCTTTTCATCACTCAGCTTGTCATTTAAAAAAAAAATGATAAAACTGAACTAGCAATCAATCGAAAGAAAGATATCTAAGGTAACCAAATTGTGCACCAATAGAGAAATCTAAAATTGAAGATCTAGATAGATAGTGTACCTGCTGCAGGTTTAGCAAAAGGAATCGAAGAACGTTGGACACTAGTACCAAAATTAGGCCTAGCAAATTAGAAGAAGCAGCAGATCTGCAAATCTGCAACTGCAAGCTTAATTCTGTTGTTCAGAGGGGTTGATGGATATTTCCTAGAAGAATAGCATATGATTCCAATATGCTCACTTGGAGAAATATCTACATGTACTTTGAGTACTCAAAAAAAAAAAAAAAAAGAGAAATTTCTAGATTAATAAATTAGCTTAGCTTGTAATTAAGGTAAACACAAACAATTTAAAAATAATGAATCTAACTAGAAAAAAGAGCAGCTTTGCTAATAAGATCATGAGATCCGCAACGAAATTGAGGCATTTTCATTTTATATATATACTCAAAGAGGACATAACAAAATCAAGATTGAAAACTAAATAGATAGTGTACCTGCAGGATTAGCGGAAGAAATTAAAGGAAGTTGAGATAGTAGGGCCAAACAAAAATTAGAAGTAGCTTAATTGCGACTGCAAAGCCTAAACTTTCCTTCTGATAAGAAGAGTTGAGCCGGCCAAGGATAAGAGAGAACGTAAAGTGGACAAGTCAATGAGAGAGTCAAAAGGATATTACTTGGAAGATGCATAGCAGACACTAGTGGAATGAAGGGTTAACCCCAACTGTCATTCCTTTACTATTAAAAAAAAAAAAGTTTAAATTTAAACCTTTTACTTTTATTTTGTCTTTTTTCTCCTTTAAATTTATCATTTTATTATAAATTTATATTAAAAAATAAAAATTAATTTTTAATTTACCAACCATTTAATTAAATTTACTTATATTAAAATTAATATTAATTTTTATGTATATATATTTATAATAAAAAATATATTTAATATACTTTTTAATCCGTGCATTTAAAACCTAGCTACAAAATTCCTACTATTAATTAACTAGGTATGTCCTCTTTCTATTATTAAAACATGTATCAATATCGTTACCCTGTCCAAGTTCCGTCCAATTTGAGGTAACAGAAAGTTTGTTGACCGTTAACCACCACACGGTCAGACATCCAATCCCCTTTTAATTCTTTTTTTACAGCTGACCTTTAGTGGGCCCCACCAAGCCCCAACCCAAGATGGGTCGAGTTCTGGAGCGACATGGCCGGCACTGGAGAAACTCATCCTGGTCTTCGAGTTCGTCGCCGAAAAGGTACTTCGAAATGCCGAGATCCGAAATTCCCAAATGGGTCTAGGAGTACATTGAACAAATCGGGTCGGTTCTGAGATAAGGCGGGTGGGACGAGACCGATATATCAGACATCGTCCACGTCTAAGCTTCAAGATTTTTCGGAGACGAAATGGTTTTGCTGGACAATCAAGCTGTCCTCGATGCGCTTCTTCTCAAAGCCGACCGGTTCTCAGAATCTTTTCGGAAAACCAGTTGGAGTTGCGAAGAGATCTGGGATGCTTCAAGGTTTGATTTAAGACCGGTGAAGGAGAGAAAACCGGTGAAGGAGAGAAAACCGGCGAAGAAGTTTCCCGTCTGAACACGTTGAAAAAATCGAAAAACTGGCAAAATCGGTTTCCCGGTGATAGTACGCGTCGAGATTCCTTTTTCTTTCCTTTTTATTTTTTATTTTTTAAAAGAAATTTCTCAAGTTCTCCAATTTGGGGATTTCCTCTATTTTAGATAGAATATTTTAAAAATTAAGCAGAAAGGCATTGTAGCATACGAAGAACGCATGAAAAATAGAGAGTTGAAATTACGTGATTGTTCATATTTATAAGTAATAAATGAAAAATGCAATAGCTAATTTTGAATTTATGTTGATTTCTGTTTCCAGCCCATATATATCTTAAAAAAATTTCTTGAAATTATTGATTAGATTTATTTAGAGTGTTTTTTTATTTAAGAATTTGATTAATATTTATAAATATAAGTTAAATATGTATTAAAAAAATTTCTTGAAATTATTGATTAGATTTATTTAGAGTGTTTTTTTATTTAAGAATTTGACTAATATTTATAAATATAAATTAAATATGTATTAATTATATTTTTTATATTTAATTACTATAAATATAAAAAAAAAATCTGCACCAATCGAAATCTAAGGTAAAAAATTGAACTAGCAATCAATTGAAAGCAAGAAATCTAAGGTAACCAAATTGTGTACCAATAGAGAAATTTAAAATTGAAGATCTAGATAAATAGTGTACCTGCCGCAACTTTAGCTAAAAAAATCGAAGAACGTTGGACACTGGTACCAAAATTAGGCCAAGCAAATTAAAGTAAACAGTAGATCTGCAAATCTGCAATTGCAAGCCTAATTTTGCTTTTCAGTGGGGTTGATGGATATTTCCCCAGAAGAATAGCATATGATTCCAATATGATCACTTAGGAGACTTGTCTACATGTACCTTGAGTACCAAAAAAAAAAAAAAAAAAAACAGAGAATTTTCTAGATTAATAAAGTAGCTTAACTTCTAATTAAAGTAAACACAAACAATTTAAAAATGAAAAATCTAACTAGGAAGAAGCATTTTTGTTAATAAGATCATGCGATTTTCAATAAATTGAGGCATTTTCATTATATATATATATATATATACACTCTAAAGAGGACATAACAAAATTAAGATTGAAAAACTAAATATTGAAAAACTAAATATTGAAAAACTAAATAAATAGTGTACCTGCAGGATTAGCACAAGAAATTAAAGGAAGTTGAGACACTAGGGCCAAGCAAAAATTAGAAGTAGCTTAATTGCGCGATTGTAGAGGCTGAACTTTCTTTCTGATTAGAAGAGTTGAGCCGGCCACGGACAAGAGAGAATATAAAGTGGGCAAATCAATTAGAGAGTCAAGAGGATATTTCTTGGAAGATGAATAGCAGATACTAGTGAAATCAAGGGTTAATGCCAACTGTCATTTCTCTTCAAAATTCCCCCTTTTGAGCCGGCCAGCACAATTAAACTCTGTAAAAAAAAAGGGGGAATGGTGTTGAGAGAGCAAAGATAGTAGCAGCAACTGGACTAAAAATAGGATGAAATGTTGACGAAGAATCTGCAAATAAAACGTAATAACTTACCAGATCTGATCCCAAAATGCTTAGCCACACAGAAAGATAGCAAACGCAAGAGAATCCTGAGAGACAAACAGAGATGGTGTTTGTGAGAAAACTGAGCGCAGATGAGGAGGAATTGAAACGCAGCCCTGTTTTTATAGACCCTAGACACCACTGTAGGTATAAGCGCGTGTGGATTTCTTCTTAGCCAATGCAATTATGTTTCTGTGATGTTTCCTATTTGCTTTTTGCTTTTTCCTACATTTGCTTAGCCAATGCTTCGCTTTTCCTGCTTTCTGCCACTATGTGAATAATTGACTAAAGCCAACTGTCCCATCTAAAGATATATTAAAGCAAACTGAAAATTTTATTTTTATTCATACTGTGTTTATATTTATTCACACTTATCAACTATATAATTTTATTTTTTAAATCTCTAAATTGAATCGAAACTGAATTGAAATCAGTTCAAATACTTCCTTTCATACTACATCAAATTTAATAATAAAGGTGAAGTTATTATTATATTTTAAATAATTAATATCATACCATTTTAATATAAAATACCTATTATACCATTACATTATACTTTTTCTTAAAATTATACATTTTTTATTTTTTAATAAATTAAAAGTATAATAATAGTATATATTAAAGCAAAGTCAAAAAAAAACTATTTTGTATTTACACTGTATATTCACACTTATAAATTAAATAATAATTTTTTTATTATTATTATTATTATTAAAACTTTAAATGAGATCCAAACTAAATTCGAAGTGATTTAAATATTTCTTTTCACATTACACCTAATTTTTTTATTATTCTTATTCAATCAATTAATTTAATTTAATTCAATTATATTACCCATTTTCCTAAATTCTTATTTAAAAAAATATTCATAAACTTATGTTTATGTATGCATGTAACTGAATTTTTTGTTTGTTATAGTTAACATAGGTTTTTTTTATAATTTTAAAATTCAAAATATAGATAATTGGGACTATAGCTGAAGATATATAACTAG